AGACATAGTTGTGAAACAATTGTCAACTGAAGCAACTGGATTGAAAAAAGGTTGGCAAGAAAGGAAAAAGAGAACAAACAACAGACACAAAGATAGTTGAAAACGGTCCCTTAGAAACTAAAGCACATGAAGAGAGAAACATGGTTAAGACTTAGATTTACCTTCTCCGGAGATTATCCATTTTCAGACTTTCATAAACTGCATGCAGAGAATCCAAACTCTCCATTAATAGATCAAAGTAAAATGATTTTTCTGAATTTTTTGAACCATCTATATTTGATCTTATGGAATCCAATCCTGGCCTATCAAGTGCTATTCTAGAAGGCAATCCAATGATGGAGTTAATCTTGCAGTAGTTCTCATGAAATTTGCTATTAAGAAGAAACTCCCAAGATGACTTTGGAATCTCTTGAGAAACTACAGATGACTTCTTGCACATTTGCATTATAATATCACAAAAAGCATTCCATTCTGAACCAACAGTAGAATTAGCCTCGGACAAGTAGCCAGAATCACCATCTCCCCAAAGAAGAACAATAAAATGGTTATAGAAACTGGGACTCAGACCCTCAGCCATTGCTGTGATGCAATCATTTGCCAACGATGATGAAGGGCTCCTTCGTAGTGCACATCGAAACATCTGCAAATACATAGCAAATAAAGGTTGTTAAAGCTCATAACTAAGATATAAAAGCCAGAAACTTTTATAGATAGAAATGTGGTACAACTAATTCAAGGGCTAATAAAATTTCCCTTTTAGAAAATTATAAGTGCTTTAAAGCGTCAGCAATATTGGCGGAAACAGAAAATGAAAGTTTCACTTATAGGGGCCAAAAAAACTATGCAATAGAAAAATAAATAGCACAGACTTGTCAAAAGAAATCATGACAAATTGAACAGTAACAAGAGTAGAGCACTTGAACTAATAAACTACAAGCATACAAGTTATAATACCTGCCGATTGTTTACTTTCACATTGATATGTGCCTCAACAGCATCAGCCAGTCCTACAATCTTCAAGTCATGGGGAACGGATGCTGCTTCTGAGAATCCTAAATTATGGGAGAGATTGCCTCTGCCCAAACACGAAGGCAGCAGATACCTGCAAAGGCATAGCTTCCCTGACTGCATTTACAGCACACGTAAATTATGAACCACTGGAAAAACAATACCAAGAAAACACACAAAGTACATTGCAGCATCATAACCTATCAGCAAAAGGAAGGCATAAGAGACAGAAAATTAATTTTGGTAGTAAATGTATGAAAAAAAAAGTAATAACGCACTGGCTACACCGTTGAAAACCAAAGCAGAAGTTAAGGTCAAAAGCATGAAAGGGGGGGAACTTACATAAAGGAGTAATATGTTTTCTGGTGCCAGAACAATGATGTCTGTATACAGAAGTGGTCCCACCTTCACACTGGAAAAAAATCAGAGGAAATTATAGCAAAGAATCTTAGAAGATCAGCCAAGTAAAATAAAACAAAAGCAAACGTAGCAATACCCAGGTCGTGTCACAATGACAGGAGCAGCAGCAATTGCAGGTATGCTCCAGCTCATATCAGGTTTAACATCAAATAGAATCTCATTATTTATTTCAACAGTTTGAAGCCTTAAAGACAGTAATTTTTTTTGCTCTAGGAGCAGAAAGCAAATTACGGGAGCTGCATCATCATCAGTTGCAAGAAAAACCTGGATATGAGACCAGTAGTTAAATACAGATATTTAAATCATAAAAATAAATATAAATTTCAGAGGATGTGGATGGGAAGTCAGTGAATTGGAAAGCACAAAAAAAAAGCATAAAAGAGCAACAAACTAAGCCTTACCATACAATATGGGATCAGCTATATGGATCATATTGCAACATTAATAAAGAGAAATGCCAAAAAAACAGAAAGGGATCAAGCACCTTAGAAGCAGCTGTGTGAGCACCCTTCCCCTGCCATATTCTACGGAAGCAGAAGCGCTTCGGTAATACACCAGCAGGAACTATAGCAGATGCACTAGCATTTTCTACTTCAAGGCTAGAATTAATTACTTCAGCGACCCAAACTGAATGCTGCATTTTTACTGCATACATAGTCACAAAGGCATAACTAAATTATATACATGGAAAATACCCACTACTGATTTTTTTTCCCAAAAAAAATGGAAAAATAATAGCAGGGAAAAGCATTAATTACGCAAAGTTAAATATATAACCTTTGTTATATGATGCCATTAGAGGGATTTGATCACTAGCCCAAATCGTTCTTTCATCAAAATCCCTCATTATGTTCAGTTTTCCTCTTTCTTCAATGTAAATTGACTGCAAAATTCAAGGCATGTACTATTTTCAGCTCTAAACATAAAATCAACTATCAAACGGCTCAAAATGAAGAATCAATGTTAATGTATGTAAAATCTCCAAATAATATGCATTCAATTACTCACCTGTGGTTCTTCAAGTAGATCCTTCAGAATCAGATGTGAGGACATTGTGCTCGATTCTCCCTTAATAAGATGATCATATGCAGTCAGAAAACTAAAACTATGTTGTGGGCTGTGCCCACTTTCTCTTCTATTACGAATTATATCACGGGAACCTAATGAAGGGCTTGAAAATTTAAAAGGGCCATGTGTTAATGAATTTCCATCTGCCACCTGTTGGAGTAACAGGCCAAATGGAAGAGACCATATGGATATGATGGAACAAGGAAGCGGAATGGATACTACTTCACCTGTTACACAAAACAAAAGTGTTGGAAAATCAGTTTCGTTCTGCAATAAGAAATCAGGTTTGAACTAATACACAATGAGTTTAATAAGCCAAAACGAACTCAATGAAACAGGTAAATCCTAGAAAGAGTAAACCACTACAGAAATAAGATACTGGCTCCTCTCTAACGGAAATAAGCATATTGAGATTCTGGCCCTAATGCTTCAACCTTAAAGAAAAGGAAAAAAAGAGTGCATGAACCACACTTTAATCCTTTGTTCCCTTTTGTTCAGACACTTTAATCCATACTTAAGAACAAGGAATGCACAACTTGACAAAAACAAACTGTTCTAAAACTATTCATATCACCTACATTAGTTGTATATAGTTATCAAATGCCAACCATCCATAAATACAAGGTCCATGCCAGATACATATCAGAACTACACAAACTATGAACCCAAACATTGTGAGTGATTCGGAATGATATGGTGAACATAATTCTAGCTCTTGCATTCAAAAAAGCCGAAATCATGAAACATCCCAATCTCCTGATAATAAGGATACTTCCTCGGATTAATATAGAATGGCAAGAGTTTGAGATATACTATGAAAGTACTATGGCAAGATTCTTAACGAATCAATTTTCATCTATAATGCTTACCTGATGTATTGTAAATTGTTAAAGAATCAATCTGTAAGACACAAAGAAGAGCTTCCGACATGTCACCCATTCGGCACCAGCATGCCTAAAATTAAGGTAAAATTGTTGTCAAAAAAATTCCATTCAGTACAAAAGGAGGAAAATGGAACAATAATTTGATTCTCATCTAGTTAAAACATCAATTTCACGATCAATTAATTACTTAACAAACTTACCTTGATGACTGGAGAAGGTAAGGTAAATCTCTTAAACACTCTAGAACCAACGCTCCAAATTATACTGTTACAGGCAAGTAAAATGCTCAAATCGAGCTCAAAATCAAGTCATTTTATTGTTAAATTCAGAATTACAAGAATTTAACAAAAAAAAGTAACAATTAATTACTTTAAATCGAAACTTTATCGCTTCAATCTGGTTAAATCAAATGCAAGGTGAAATTATTTACCGGTTGCCTCGAATGAAAAGCTCGTGATCTCGGCGGTCACTGAGGGCTGAAGCCGAGGCGTCATTATCCAAGTTCTCGTCTCGTTGCCTCGCGATTTCTGGATCGAAGAGGAGATAATCGTAATTATCGGCCGAATTATACGGCGGTTTTCCATCGAGTGCCTCGGCGATTAATCCAAACGGCTTGAACTCGCCGAGTACGGTGAGTTGGCGAACGCCAACGGGCATATTTTTGAGGATGAGTCGACTCGCTGAGACGATTGCTAGCTGGTTAAGTGAGTGAGAGAGTGGGAGAATAAAAAAACAAAATGAACTAATGATGCTTCTCTGAGTATCTCCCGCTCTTTTTTTCTCTTGAATTTTTAATTTTCGACCGAAGCTAAAACCCTAAAGCGTTTTCTGTTTGGATCCTTGGAATGGTGTGTCCCCGATAGGGATAAGAACAGACCTACGCTGACTCAGGAAACGTTATTCCAATTCTTCAAAAGCCTATTTTAACACATATTTTTTAATGAATATAAAAATGTTTCGTTTTTATAGTAAAATTAATTAAATTTTGAAGATAAATACGTAGGATTCAACTTACTACTAAACCATCAAATTATCATTTATGATAGAATTAAGATATTTAACTATATTTGTAAATAATTACCTTCACAAAGCACCATTAAATTACATCAAACTAATACCCAAACATTTAATTTATTAATTAATACATAATCTTTCTATATCTGAATTAAAAAAAAACATCAACTAAACCTATGGGGTGTGATATGATGGTAAGATAGTAGTATATTAAAAGGAATTTGACCGAACATTCATGGAGCATATTCGACCCTGTTGAAACATTCCAGAATGTGCATGGTATAAGGAAAAGTATTTTTATATTATGAAGTATACATATTTACAATGTTGTACATTTGCTGTTACTTCTTGTCTTGCCTTTTGCTGTCCTTTATCCGTGGGACAATCGACCATGTAGAAACGTTCAAAAACATGCATGGGGCATTTGACCCTGTTGAATGAACGTTAACCGTTGGTGTTTTGTTTCTAAGCTTTGAATGATAACCGTTGGTGTTTTGTTTCTAAGCTTTGAATGAAATCCATCGCGGGAAGAAAACCATTTGTTGGAAACATGCACGCAAGTGACGCAACTAAACGAGCAATTAACAAAACAAAACAAGGGTAGCAGTACGTTTACTATTAAAACCACACATTCATTAAACAAAACAACGCACACAACAGCAAACAACTACCAGAAAACACACTAGGAAATCAAAACCTTGGCTAGCGTAGATACACCAGACCAGTTTTTTACATGATCGGCTGGTTTAGTTTTTACTTGGAACCTAAATCAAGATAAAGGACAACAATAATCACAAAAGAGTTTCTTAGATGAAGATCAGCGCTAGGCGGCCTTCATGGGGGAAAATGAAAACCACATTTTTCCTGAACAAAAGCGGATTAACTGTTGTTCCTGTGCTTGGATTCATCGATGGGCATGCCTTCTTCTGCAGCACGTTCCCCATCAGACTTATCAGTGGTGCTGAGACCTCCTTTGCGCCCCATTTCCTGGTACCCTTCTCGCCCTATCTGCTGCTTTCCCGCCTCCCCTCCTGGGTGCCTCCCTTCACACAGCAAAAACAAGACAGTCAAAAACTGCAACTTTCAATGCAAAACTGACTAAAAACACAAGAAGGAAAATCTGTTTATTTACCTTCAGCAAGTCGTTCCTGGGCTTCCAAGCTTTTCCCACTAGTTCCACCGGGAACCACGACCTCTCCTTGCCTGGCCCTAGCATCAAGCTCAGCTCTTTCTTCGTCGGAGGCGTTTTTCACTTGCTCTGAGGCCATTCTTGTGCCTTTTTGTCTTGGTTTTTTGACAGACGAACGCCTTTTTTGCTAGTTGTGATGCGGTCGGAAAACGGTGCTTTTAGCGGCGACCTGGGGCGAGTGAGTTTATAAGCGGAGTAGGGAGTGACGTGCTGTCATCTTATGTGACGCGTGCTGGAGTACGTGGCAGAAAGGGGTGTGGATTGTATGCCACGTAGGTCACATTGGGACAAATATAATGACACGTGTCTTTTGCATGTCTTCTTGCTTTTTGCTAAGGCCCTTTTAGGCAAAATAATAAAAATTACGGAAAGCAAAATGACAATTGGCCTAACCTAATCGAAACCTTCCCATTTGTCTCCTTTTTCCCAGACAATTATTATCGTTAATTCTCTTATATTTAATTCATTCACAAAGGTAAATTCAAGTTTTGGTGTTAAATAATATCTTTCCAATTTTTAACCTTTTTACCATTAAAAAATATAATTAAAACTAAATTGTTCTGTTTTCTATTGATTAAAAATAAAGTATATACATAATGTTTGATTAAATATGTAAAACATATATTACGATAAATCTAAAAATATATTAAAATTTACGCATAATTTAATTAAAAAATATTGCTTAGTAAAGAGACATTGATAATAATAAAATAACTTGCTCACTAGAGCAACAAAATATTCACATATAATTTGTACAATAATTATAGGCATTTTTAATAAATAAAATACATAAAAAATTTTAATTTATCATCATATTTACAAAAAAAAAATATCAAATTTAAATCACCTATATATCCTTTAATTTAGTCCAAATATGATTAAAAGTTACAATATATTTATGAAATATGTCTCTTTTTTTCATTTAATATTTTTTATCATTAAATTTTAATAAGTTTTAAATCAAATTAAAAAGTACAACGTTCCTATTTATCAATAAATAAATAAATAAATAATTTAGACATGTACATTTGACCCTCGTTTATTTGACACCTCGACACCATCTTGTCTTACATGATGTTGCACTCTTTTCTATAGTAATGTCTTACTGTTTTATTTAATTTTAACCATAATTTTTTGCTTTGCTAAGGTAATGTCATTAATTTTCTCCAAAACGACTGTACTTTGTGCCATTCTTGACCATTTTTTTCTATTTCTTTTTTCCATTAAATTTCAGAATCTATAATAAAAGAGCATATTCTATTTTTCACAATTTACTTTTTATATATTAACATCACTTTATTTGCATATTTTTACATAAATTAAATTATTTAAGTAAAATTTTAATAATAATTAAACAAAAATAATTTGATTCTAATGATGTTGCATGCAATCTTAACAAATATCTAAAATAATAAACAAAACATTCATGTAAAAAGAAACTGTTGCTTCACTTGATACATGGATCAAACACAAACTGATAGGAAACAAAGGAGTTTCACCACTTTTATACAGATAAAGGAGTCTCCTTTTTCCACTGACTCAAAAGGAAAGCAACAAAAAGACCTGCCTAGTACTATGATACACCATGATCTTGGAAACATTCCTTGTAGTTTTAGATTAGTTCTGAGCAAAGAGCTGTCCATCAGGAAGAGGTTGGCTGGTTTGGTTTATACCCTCTGGCTTGCCCTGTACTTGCTCTTTTCAATCTGAACGCCTTCTTCTTCTGCACGTTCCCCGCCGGACTTATCACCGGTGCTGAGACCGCCTTGGTGGCCCATTTCTTGGTACCCTTCCGTTCGTATCTGTTCCTTCCTCGTCTGCCCTCCCCGGCTCCTCCCTTAGAAAAAAGCCTCATAAAAGCACAAAAATACTTCGAAAGCATGAGAATATAAGGCTCTCAATAAAAGGGCTTTTACATTATTTAATTAATTACCTTCAGCCAGGTGTTCTTCAGCTTCGAGGCTCTTGCCGCCGGTTCCGCCAGGGATGACGATCTCTACTTCCCTTGCCCTGTGATCGAGCTCCTCTCTTTGCTGCTGGTAACTCATAACTTCTTCTTCTAAAGTGTAGCTGACCTAGGAGTTAAACTGTGGGCTTCTTAAGCAGCGCGAGACGAACAAAGGGAGTTTCGTTTTCTTAATAAGCATATGATGGGGATGGTGCTATGGTGATACTGGGACCACGGATGGGGAAATATATAAGGCGGGGGAGCAAGCGGTGGCAGGGTTATGTTTTCCGATGCCATTGCCAAGTTGTGGCTTGGGTGGCGGAGCCTGGTTGTGATACACGCAAGTCAGCGTCGGGAAATAGGATGACGCGAGTACTTCTTTTTCTCATGCATGGCCGTGGGAAACTCTTTCGCTCGAAGACACGTGTTGTTTTCGTTAATATTTATATTTATATCCATTATTACAGTTCGTTCATTATATTTATATATTGTAGAAAATTTTCCAGTATGTATCATTTTATTAATAAAATAATTTTAAAAATTAAAAATTCTCAAAATTTAATACTCATAATTTAAAAAATATTTATTTAATTTTTTAAAAAAATTATTTTTATATATTTATGTAACATTATTATGTAATTCAATGATAATGTAATATGTGATATGCACTAATAATACATTGTATATAAACTCTTAATCGCATCCTAATCAAATGTAAAATTGAGTCATTCAAAATTGAATTTTGTCAAACCATAAATTAGTGTATATATATTAATCTTCATCAAAATCGAATTAAATCTTAATCTAATATAATCTGCATCTATATTGAAATATATATAATCAAATATAAAAATTCAAAACATATTACACCTCTATATCTGATTTGTTAAATTATTTGGCTTGTTTTAATTGGTCTAGTAATAGTCCATTTGACTTGTTGAACTATTTGATATGTTTTAATTATCTAGTTTAATAATAGGCCAATTGACCTAATTTAAACTGTTGAATCACATAATTAAGATTCAAACATACATTCATATTAAAAATATACGAGTAAACAAGTGAAAAAAAAATACCAGTAAACCATAAGTGGAATAGGTGGGATAGTTGATCTAATCAAAGAAAAAAGAAAAATATAAAGTCACCTGTATATATAACTCTTTCAAATTATGGAATGCTTCTCGAAAGGTCTCCATTAAGGTACTAAAAACTAATACTTTTTCCCATTTGTGTCAACGTTCGATTTTCTTTAATTTTTTTTAAAAAATGAAACAAAAAATTAATTGAATATTTTTATATCAAAATTTGAAATTTTATGTATTCAATAATTGTTAATATGGAAAATTATTAAAAAAATAAATTTTATAACATTAAAAGAGTAAAAAGTCCAATTCTGGGTGGTTGGAATATGAGAAGATGTGCCCACTTTACAAAGACATTGCTGTAAAATGCTCTTGCTCACATGCATAAATATATATATATATATATATATATATATATTCAACGTTAACAACTTAGATTAGATGCCCACTTTGTTTGACCAAATTTTTATAATAATTCCCTTTTATATATATAGATATATATATATATATATATATATCTAGATCTAAATGTCAACGAGATTACTTAGTGCTTTTCATGCGTCAGGCATCGATGAGAACGAGAATCGAATTTGGCAAAGCTCGGGTTTAAAATGGTAAGTTCCAACTTTCTTTTTTGGGTCAAGAAAAAACATAGAGGTCGGTCGGTTTACTAAATCAAATTTAATATTCAAATAATGAACAGTTCAAGCTTTTGTCCTTAGTGGAATAGTTCAGATCTAGGGTAGCTAAGCTATGCTTGACTGGACCTGATCAAACTCTAGAGCATGAAATTTGATACCGTCCCCGCCTCTAGGCGGGTTTAACCTTTCTTCATGTAAGGTTTTCACACTATATATATGTACACATATATTTATAAAAAACAATAATGATTTTGCAAATCAAATTACTTGTGATAATTACATATTAAATGACTTTTAATTATGCTTGATATAAACAAAAATATAATAGTAAATCAAAAGTTTTACTTGTATGAAAGGTTCTATCACATATATGTGTATAATTAATACGATTTATGTGAAATAGTAATAATCTTGTAAACTCGATTTACGTGACAATTAATTGTAAAATCTTCATGGGACAAAGATATTATAGTTTTAAATATTTTTCATATTAAATGACTTAAATTACAAGTGACATCTTAATAAAAACATGATAATAAATCAAAATTTTGTATGGTTTCATTAAATAGCACCCGTCAATTAGATACTCTCACTAAAACTCAACAGAAATATATTGCTCAAATTGAATAAGATAGAACTATATAGTTAAGTTAATGTGATTGGAAATTATGTTCGGACATTAAATATTACTTTTTAATGAGATTTAAATAAAATAATAAATAATTAAATTTTAATTGAATTTAAGTTGGAATAACTTACAGACAAAGAAAATGTAAAGTATAATAATGAGAAAAACACCGTCCCTAACTAAGCTCCGGGCTAATTAATTAAACCTAGTTTGACCGCAAAATTATTCTCTTTTTTTGCTTTTATTAGCCTGTCTCTTGTTTTATGTTCATTGGACAGATTTGTTTATAATTTTTCTTTAACTTACGTGACAAAAACTTAAACGGCAAATGGAGAAGAATTAGACAAAGTCCACTCTATGGTCTAGCGCGTGCAATGTCAGAAACATCATAGGGATAATCTAAAATAAAACTCCAAAACTTTGGAAAGAATATATATTATTATTATTAAATAAATATTTATTTTTTTAAAAAATAGTATAATGATGAAAAAAATAATGTATATATAAAATAATTTAAGTATTTGATTCATTGATTAGTATAAAATTTGTTTATTTAAAAAATAAGATTTAAATTTCCTCTCTCACTTATTAAAAAATATAAATATAAAAAATGAAATAAATTAGAAAAAAATCATATACAAAACGAGTCAACCAGGCGATTCCAAACAAAGCGGAAAACTAACGTCACGCGCCCAAGTGAAAAGGGCGCTTAAATTATCTCTCTCAAATCAAGAAATTCAAACCGAGTCAAACTCGCAAATCAAAATCCTGAAAGTGAACCAGAAAACGCCACGTCATGTACCGTCTTCTTCACGTATATAAACAGAAGGGGAAACTAACTCCATCTCTCAATGTTCATATCTCGTAGCTGGGCCTTCGTGTCTACGTTTTCTCCCTCCTTTCGCCACAGAAGAATAATGCCTTGGTCTCTGGTGGTTCCAGCCTCTCCGATGTTCTCACCCAAAAAAGCACCTTCGATTTTCTGCAAATCGGACGGCTCAGCTTTCCCCTCATCTCCTCGCGTTAACGCCTCTCAAGCGCCTCAGTCTCCGTTATCTCTTCCGTTATCCTCTCCCAAATCACCTCTTCCTTTCTCATCTGCCTCCGTTGCGGCACCGCAGTCGCCGTCGGCGTCATCGTCATCATCATCGTTAAAATCTTCGTTGTCTTTTCGCGTCCCGCATCAACAGCTCTCTTTGGGAGCCGACACTGCGTCGCCTTCGGTGGTGAAGAGAAAGAGGCCAGCGATGATAGAGATTCCTACGCCAATGGCGGTGAAGCTGGGGTTCGCGGCGGAGACGCCTAGAGGGGAGGAGGAGGTGCAGGTGGAAGGGGAGGGGTATTCTGTTTATTGTAAGAGAGGAAGAAGAGGGAAAATGGAAGACCGTTACTCTGCTGTTATTGATCTTACTGGAGATTCTAAACAGGTATATTTCCCCTCTAATTTTCTTCTTTTAATCATTTTAAATGCATAGAAATTTTAAGGCTATTTTGTTTCTTTTATTTGCGATGCCATTGTTGGATTGATTTGTTGAATTGAAAAGTAAGAAAAGCAAAGATTAAACCCTTATTACCAGCAACATTTACCAAAAGAAGGCTTTGATTTTTGCATGACCTGAATTGATTATGAATATGCAGGCCTTCTTTGGTGTTTTTGACGGACATGGGGGTTCAAAGGCTGCTGAATTCGCGGCGAAGAACTTAGATAAGAAGGTAATGGAGGTGGTATCTAACAGATCATGTGGAGAGGGAATCGAAGATGCAATTAGAGACGCATACTTGACCACGGACATAGATTTTCTAAAGGAAGATGTTGGTGGTGGTAGTTGTTGTGTCACGGCAATGGTACATGAAGGTGATATTATTGTATCGAATGCAGGTGATTGTCGCGCTGTTATGAGCCGAAGTGGTGTAGCAGAGGCTTTGACTTCTGATCATAAACCTTCAAGGCAAGATGAGAGAGACAGAGTTGAAGCTTTGGTATGCAATCAGCTGTTTCTCTTGGTGCATCTTTAGTTCAAATTTCAATATACAATGAAAATTTAAAGACAAGATTGATGCTGTGAAATTAAAGTTTTCTGTTTTGATGTTTGATCTTGTAGGGTGGCTATGTGGATTGTTGCCATGGTGCTTGGAGAATACAAGGTTCTCTTGCTGTATCAAGAGCAATTGGGGATAAACATCTTAAACCGTGGGTAATTGCAGAACCAGAGACGAAATTGTTAAAAATTCAGCCTGAGTGCGAGTTCTTGATCCTGGCCTCAGATGGTCTTTGGGATAAGGTAAATGTTAGACCAAATTTGTTCATATAATCGCTTTTGAACCTCCTTTGATGATCCTTTTTAAGTTGTTAATGATGTTGTATTGAATTTTTTGACTTGCCTTTCAGGTTACCAATCAAGAAGCAGTAGATTTAGTTCGGCCTTTCTGTGTAAGCATTGATAAGCCTGAGCCATTTTCTGCTTGCAAAAAGCTTGCTGAATTATCATCATGGAGAGGCTCGTTTGATGATATTAGTGTGATGATAGTTCAACTACAGCATTTTGTTTCTGGACTTGTTTAGATGAGGCTGGTTAAAGTTTTTACTCCACCTGCAAGTCTTCCATTTTAAATCAGAAACTTGCAGCTATTGAGCTGGGAGAGCCGTGACACTTTTCAAATTGCTTCATCCATTATCCTGGAGAAAATGGCCGTGTTTATGGTAATGGCAGTAAGTGGTGGTTGCAATGTTGACGAGGATAATAGTTTAACCTGGACATCACTATGATTTAAAGATGGCATTATAGTATACCAAAATGTCTTGCAGATCATCAGACTGTGATCACTTCCCCATGCCAGTGTGTTATCTCATGCTCTTAAGTTGCTCATATTTGAGGTTCAATGGATTCCCTACCACCATGATATCAGGAAGACAGTTTCAATTGCCTTATCAGAACAAAAACGAAGGCAGTATCGACTGATCAGGGATCCTCACATAGTTTGTCATCATCATCCCCGGATTATATGATAATAGTTCTTAAAAGGCAGATAAACAGGGAGAATTGTCTGGAAGTGGAGCACTTGTTGCAAAGTAGCAGCTGCCCATGGTCATCCCTACAAGTTGCCATTTTGACCAACTGATTTTTCTCTTTCTTTTTGGGGATTGTTCCAAGTCAAGAAATGGTTTCTGAATTGTTGTTTAGACCAGATGGGTCACGTTTGGCAGCTGGCTTGGCACTTTTCCAATGATGGATGAATGGTTTCTTAATGCTCTTTATATTAGCAATGATGCAATCAAATTAGTTCATGTTGCCTCCTCAAAAAATGCAATATTTTAGCTATACTTTTAGAATGAATTTGTAGTATTTTCTTCTTGTAAGCATGGGATGCTGCTCTTGTGAGTCCCACTTGACATCTCGACTCCACAGCAACAACTGGGCATTTTTTTAAACAATTCTACCAAACCCAACTGCTGGCTGGTCTGAGGTAGACAACAACAAGACAACAACCTCAAACCCAGAATTCCAGCCCAAATAAGAGTCCATTTGTGCTGGTTTCCAAAACCTGTATTTGTGGGCTTTTTTTTTTTTATTAAATATCTATATATGTAATTTTTCGAATCATTCGAATTTAATTTAAATAGTAAAATAGAGTGAAATTTAGATAAAAATTTTAAATTGGAGTCGTGGTACCTTATTGATCTTTGTTTTGGCTTAATACAGTTGGGTCAAAGTATTCATCGAGGGCGGTGAGAGTGAAGAAAAAGAGAGAAAATTAAGCATAAAAAAATTAAAAAAAAAAAACAAAGAAAATTCTCTTTAGCATGTCAAATCGACAAGGAATTTGACTAAGAATGCTGGAGATTCCCTTTGGCTTAAATCCGAATAAATGAAAATGACAAAAGTTTATCAATTAATGGATATGAAAAGTAAAACTTCCCTCCCAACTTCTGATATTTTTTTTTTCTCCAGGAAGAGTCCCATCTAATTGACAATCAAGTAAATTATAAGCTTTTTCTTGGAATTACAGTGGGTTTTCCATGTCAGCCTGAGCTATTGATTGATCCTCCTAGTATTTGTTCAAACATCACTCATAATCAAGTAGAAAGTATATATTACCTCATTGCTTTTCCTTTTTCTTCGTTTTGGAAGCACTAGAAGGAGCTGGGGCCTGGGTGGGCTTGCTTACATGTATTAACTTGATGTAATCTCATCCCCCCCTCCAAGAGTCAACCCCAACAGAGAATCCCAGAAACAAAAATATCTGCCATTTTCATTTTTCAGCATTTCTTTTTCATATACTAAAAATATATTTTCTTAACTCTATAAAATCAATAAAATTTTAACCATGGTGCAAATTTTGATATAGTTATTGAATAAGATAATGTTTTCATTTAATCTATATTTGATATGTATAAATTTTATACATTATCAGTTAATCAAATATTATCATTTTCTTAATAGATAAATTTAAAAATTGATAATTGAAAAAATAAATACTTAAATTTTTATTTTTACATATTTATTGACAATGTATTAGATATAAATTCCTGTTTTAGTCCTTTTTAAATTGTTTTTTATTATTATTTTTTGTTAATTCACCATATTCAGCCGTTTATTTCCTTTTTCTTGCAGCATAGTTTAAAATTCGAAAATAAAAATAAAATTTCGGGTCGGGTAATTACCCGAATCGGGCGGCTATATAAAAACTAAGAGCCAGCAAATGCGCATACCACTCTAAGGCACATATTTTGCACGTCCTTTCCTTTTTCTTTTTCTTTATTTTTCTCGAGTGCCTTAGATTGGATCTCTTCTCGCTCTGCTTCTCTGTTCTTCATTTCTTCACCAAATTCGATCTTCCTTTTTTCTTTTCTCCGTATATTTTTCCGACTGTTTTAAATCTCTGCTTCAGATCTCGTGGCAGAGTGTTTGATTCTTCGTCCCTTTTCTCAGTGTTCCGTTTTGACCCCGCAATTGAAACATTGAATCTCAGCCGTAGATCTGCTCCTGATTCGTGAATCTTCAACCGTTGATCTGAGCCACCATGGCGGCCGCGAACGCTCCCATCGCCATGAAGGAGGTGTTAACTGTAAGTCTTAATGGTTTCACTCTCTTTCCTCTCACTCCTCGTTTCGGTTCAATCGATTTTATGGAAATTTCAGCTGAATTATAGCAATTAATCGGTTATTAAGCTTAAGCTAATACTTCATAAACCTTTTCAGATCTAATAGCTGTAATACTTGTCTAGATCTGTTTGGTACTTCCCCTATACGTTTCAAAATAGTGAAAATTTTGAGTGATCTGAACGGTGTCGTTTGTTTGCAGTTGCCGAGCATTGGCATTAATCCTCAATTTATCACTTTCACGAACGTAACTATGGAATCTGATAAATATATCTGTGTGAGGGAAACGGCGCCACAAAATAGTGTTGTGATCATAGACATGAACATGCCGATGCAGCCGTTGAGACGGCCTATTACAGCAGACTCCGCTCTTATGAATCCGAATTCTAGAATCCTTGCTTTGAAAGGTCAGTTACCATATCAACCAGCAGTTAGTTTATTTTAACTCATTTTGTTAATTGTGTGTAATAATTGACTGTGATTATATAGCATTTTTGTCATTGATTCGAGTATTGTATATTCAATTTGACTGTTTTGTATAGTCGATAGAGTGTACATTGGGTCAATAACTTCGAACTCTTTTCTTATTTGATAGTTAGACTCTGTCTTATCAACAGCCTAATCATGTAGGAGAGTGGTTTTTTTTTTCTTTTTGTATTTTAATGGAATACTTTTGTAGAAGAATCTTATTTGAATCAACACATAGGCTCCTTTCGGTTGTTGGTTTGCTGCTTGCATTTTGCTTTCTAAAAATGAACAAATGGATGAATTGTGATACCAGTCAACTGCAACACCCTGCTTAAGGCATCAAAGTGTGCGTGAACTACAGTGTTTGTAGCCGTTAATGCTTTTCTGCTCTACTGTTTTATCGTGATATTGATTAGGTTTTGCATTTGCATATCTGTTTGTTTAGTTTGCCAGGAACAGCTTGTCAGCACTGCTGAGTGCTTGTTAATTTCTTCCTATAGCAGAATTTGTTTCAATTTATGCCCATCTAGATATGAAAAATATGTTTGAGATGCATTCTAGTGCTTGGCATTCTTGTAATGAAAGTATTTACTGGAGAAGGAAATTCAGTATCTTTAATATTGATTTTACGTCTTGTTTAATATTTTTTATTTATCTATGCCTTCTGCTCATGGACTTTGACATCGCCTTGTAGCTCAACTACCTGGAACAACTCAAGATCACTTGCAAATATTTAACATAGAGATGAAAGCAAAAATGAAATCACATCAGATGCCTGAACAGGTGAATAGCTATCTGCCTCTCAACATTATCGTTTTTCCATGATAGTTACTTGATTGCATGAGCTTAGCAAACTTTCCTTGGTTCATGTCCAGGTTGTATTTTGGAAATGGATTAGCCCAAAAATGCTTGGCCTGGTCACTCAGACTTCCGTGTATCATTGGTCAATTGAAGGTAAGATGTTATTCTGTTACCTTATCTAGTATCACATACTGCTGTGATTTGTTCAGCTCTAAAGAATATACTTTGAATGTACTTTTATCTATTGTATAGATTTCTTTGGTGTTATGTGTCTCATTGCATCTCACTTCTGGCAGGTGATTCCGAACCAACTAAGATGTTTGAGAGAACAGCTAATTTAGTGAACAATCAGATAATAAACTATAAATGTGACCCTTCAGAGAAGTGGTTGGTTTTGATTGGAATTGCCCCTGGTTCACCTGAGGTATGTGGTTGCCATGTAATGCTTTCTAAAGGTGAATAATATTTTGTTGTAATGAAGAGGTTGTTGCTTCATTTGCATTATGTTTTGGGAATTTGATAACTGCCACGTGTTAAGTCTTGTTGTATACCAAAAAAAGTGAACTTTCAAAGTAATATATTTAAAATTACCCAAAGCTGGGCCTAAGAATTTCTTTGAGCGAGTGTGGGAGTTGTGTGGTCCATGTTTCAAACTGCTAAAGTGAACTTGGTGAATTAATTTAGTAACTCCTTCTAGGTGATTTATTTTATCTCTTGGGGTGTCATATTGGATTTGCATCCCTCTAACCGCTGTTTTAGTTTTCTTTGCCTTCCGCATCTCTCCACTGTTAGACAGTTCCTTGCATAACTTTTAGTAGTTATGAAATTCTCTCTTCAGAAAATCATTCTTACTGCCGCTATATGTTCTGATTTTGATCTATATGTCTTGTCTCATCTAGAGGCCACAATTGGTTAAGGGGAACATGCAGCTTTTTTCTATTGATCAGCAGCGTAGTCAAGCTCTGGAAGCTCATGCTGCTTCATTTGCTCAATTTAAGGTCAGGAGATTTCTTATACTTTGTTCTATTTCACAAGATAAATAAATTCTAATCTAAGAAGCAGGTTATCAAATATGCTTGTTTGTGTTGAGCAGGTTCCAGGAAATGAGAATCCTTCTACTCTTATTTCCTTTGCCACCAAGACTTTTAATGCTGGCCAGATTACATCAAAGCTGCATGTGATTGAGCTCGGTGCTCAGCCAGGTAGGCGTGCTATGCTGTCTTTGATACCTCTGCTATCTCCTTGTTATTTACTTTGGGGTGGGTGGGGGTGGAACTGAAGGACTTTCTTAATAAATACAAAAACTGAAAACATAAAATTTAGTAAACAAAACAGTATGCCTTTCCGACTTCCATTGGTGGAATGATCAAATGTAATACTTTATTATCTTGTTAATGTTGTAGACATCAGAAATTGGTGGTAACTGACAAAATTGGTTTTATAAGCTATGATCCTTTTGTGAAGTTAAATGCTTTTTTTTCCTAAAGTAGCAAGTTAATTGCTATTATGGCTGTGGCTCTAATAAACTATTGTTACCTGAGCTAAAAATCAGGAAGTACTTTTTATTTCTTTTGAGTTTTGGCAAGTTCTGTTGGGATTCTATATTGCAATATTTGTGGGGCTTTAACTCAGAATTCTAGGATTCTATCTATTGCAAGCTCTAAATCAAGATCAAGACTATTATGAGTTAAAAATTTTGTTGGGCATTGTGTTTAAGCATGAGCTTTAACGATTCTTCTTCAAATCAACTTTTCAGCTATAATCTTGTGTTGTGTGTTGTTCAGTCTATTATTTTTCGAATCTTCTAACACAACATACTTGTTGGCAGGTAAGCCATCGTTTTCAAAGAAACAGGCAGATCTATTCTTTCCACCAGATTTTCAAGATGATTTTCCAGTCGCAATGCAGGTAACATAATATCCTAAATTTGCATCTCTTTCTGGTAAATTGTTGTGCCAATAATATGACATGCTTCTTTTACTTGGCAGATATCCCACAAATACAGTTTAATCTATGTAATCACCAAGCTTGGGCTGCTGTTTGTTTACGATCTAGAGACAGCAACTGCTGTATACAGAAATAGAATCAGTCCAGACCCAATTTTTTTAACCTCTGAAGCTTCATCAATGGGAGGGTTTTATTCCATCAACAGGCGAGGTCAGGTGTTACTGGCTACTGTAAATGAAGCAACAATAGTGCCATTTGTCAGCGGTCAAGTATGTTTTTGTGGCTTTTCTGGTTGCTTCTGGTATCACAAAGGTTAAACATGCTGGCTTACAACTTTTTTCTGGTTGTTTTATGTTACAGTTGAACAATTTGGAGCTTGCTGTCAATCTTGCCAAAAGAGGAAACCTTCCTGGTGCAGAGAACCTGGTAAGTGGATTGATATGTATATTTGCTGGTCTCTTGTTCCTGTATTTTAGATTGGGAAGATAATGTAGGGGTAAGAGACTGATATTATCCACTGTAAATTTTGATTTTCAGACAATAATACCTAAAGGAAAAAACTATTTAACTGAGGGGATTGAAGGGGAGGGATACTTTTGTGATAACTT